CGCCTCAGCGCTGCCCCCCCCCGAGATGCGAACTACAAGTCCCAGAATCCCCGGGGCGGCGTGGCTGGTGGGACTTGGAAGAGCCTGGGGACCCCTCCCCTGCAAAGAGCTGCAACGGGGGTCCTGTGAAGGAAAAGACCCCCTGGAGCTGCTTTTCATGCTTCCCACGCCCAGCCCCGCTCTGAGCGGCGGAGAGGAAGGCGGGCCCCCCCTGGGCATCTTCTCCCGGGGTCCCAACCTCCCTCCCTCCCTCCCTGGGGCAGAGCAGGGCGGTTCAAAGACTGGCGGGACTCAGCTGCTTTGGCTTTTTTGCTCTTTTACTGTGGATTTGAAGACACACAGAACCAAAGACAATATATAACTTTCCCCTGGTTTTTCTCTCTGGCCCCCCAGCAGAACACAAATCACACAAATCAGAATTAACAAAATTCCAAAGCTCGGTTGAGTCAATGACCACGAAGGAACGAGGGCAAAATTCAAACAAAAAAAACAACCAGCTTCTTTTTTAAACCAGACAAAACATGAAGCATAGAAACTACGATGCCAGGAGGCAATTCCAGAATGGATGAAATAACCCCCCCCCCAACACACACACACAAATACAAGCAGCAGCTAATTTGTGTTGGACAGCAGTTGCTACACATTCACATCTCGCTTCCTGAAAACCACCTGGTATTACTGGAGGCCCTGGGGAGGGAGGGGGAGAAGGGGCTGGAGAAGCCAAGAGCCTCCACTCACCAGGATCTCAGCTTCCTGAGTGGAAGGAGGGAGGTCCGGTTACACTTTAGCTCCCTGGCCCACAATTAGAGTACAGAAGCCCTGATTTAATCTTTTGGGACACCCGGCCTTAAAGCAGCGGGTGCCAGTAAGCAAGGCAAGACCCAGAAGCAAAATGGGAAATTCACCCCCTCGCTCCAAGGAGGCAGGGAAATTAGGCGATGCAGCCTTTTCTGCCCACCCAGCATGGGGAATTTATGTGTGTGCTGCTGTAGTTCTCTGTGGGGTAAAAAAACCCTAGGCCTTCCCTGCTTTGAAACTTGGATCTCGACTCCTCCGATTAAACCCCTGGAATGGGAAGTGCACCGAATGCTCACTTGTGCACACACAGACCCACAGTCACAAGAAAAGAGAGTTCTTGCATTCTTCAGGTGTTCCAACCCCCCATTGCTCCAAAATGCATCCAGCACTAGAATGCAAGAGCAAGCAAGGATGAAACTGAACTCAGTTGCTCAAGACTCACTGGCCTGGCTGTTCCAAAGGTGTGGCTGTGTGTGCCAACAATTGTCTTGCCTTCCTGATTCATCCCCCACCCCTCGGAGTTTCCAGTCCTCCCCCACAAGCCTCCCAGGCTGTAAATTGGATTAGTTTCATTTTAAGGTAAACTCAGCAAAAAGGGGTGAGCAATCACCTCCACCAGACCGATTAGATCCCACAGATTAGGCCTCCTCCGAATTCCATCCGCCGGCCAGTGCCGACTGGCGACTACCCGGAGGAGAGC